ACCTTAAGGAATACGTGATCCCCTACTTGAAATTCCAAAGGTCTTCGCCTTCTATCTGCATAACTCTTTTGACTGCTTTGAGCTGTTTTTAGCCTTTCACGAATTATCTTAACCGCCTCAACTGACTGTTGAGTTAATTCTGGCCCGGTTATACTCCTTTCTCCAACTTCGTCCCAACATACGGGCGTTCTACATGCTCTGCCATATAGCGCTTCAAATGGCGCCATCTCGATACTCTGCTGGAAACTATTATTATACGCGAATTCTGCTATGGGCAATTGCTCTTCCCACTTGCCCTGAAAATCCAATACACGTGCCCGAAGCATATCCTCTAAAGTTTGAATCGTCCTATCAGACTGGCCATCTGTTTGTGGATAGTAAGCTGTACTAAACTGCAGCTTTGATCCTAATGCCATCTGCAGACTTTTCCAAAAGTTGGCGGTAAACCTAGGATCACGATCCGAAGTAATCGTCACTGGTACCCCATGCAAACAAATTATCTGTTGAACGTATAACTCAGCATATCGATCCAATGCGAAGTCCTTTCGCACGGCCAAGAAGTGCGCTGACTTTGTCAATCTATCGACAATCACCCAAATGGAATCATGGCCTCTTTGGCTCCTTGGTAATCCCATTACAAAATCCATAGTAATATGTTTCCATTTCCATTCTGGGATTTCTAAAGGTCGCAACAATCCTCCGGGCTTACAATGTTGCGCTTTCACTTGCTGGCATGTCAGACACTTAGCTACATGCTTAGCTATGTCCACCTTCATGCCATTCCACCAATAATACTGTCTCAAATTCTGATACATTTTTGTACTCCCCGAATGGATACTATAATTACTACGATGCGCTTCCGACAAGATTTCTTCCTTAAGTTCCGCATCGTCAGGCACGTACAACTGTCCACGGAACTTTAATATCCCGTCTTCGGATACTTGAAAGTCCGGTTTCCTCTTGATAGCATCCATTTCCAGAATTCTTTGAATTTCTTGATCTACAGACTATAAGGCCTTAATCTTAGTCTGGATTTCCGGTTCGATTCTTAAAGTGGCAAACAAGCTCGAGACTTGACTTACTTCGAATTTAAACTCCGAGTCTCACACTCCTTCCAACAAAGTCCATTCCTTGACCATCAAGTGTGCGATGCTTGACTTCCGACTCAATGCATCGGCTACCCGGTTGGCCTTTCCGGGGTGATATAAAATATCACAATCGTAATCCTTAAGTAATTCCATCCAGCGACGCTATCTCATATTTAACTCTTTTTGAGAAAACAAATATTTCAAACTCTAATGGTCAGTATATATCTGGAATTTCTCTCTGCACAAATAATGTCGCCAAATCTTAAGGGCGAAAATGATCGCGGCTAATTCCAAATCATGCGTTGGATAATTCAGTTCATGCGGCCTCAACTGCCTTGATGCATAGGCTACTACTCACCCATGTTGCATCAGCACACATCCTAATCCTTTCAACGACGCATCACTATAGATTTCGAAACTTCCAGATCCTGACGGAATAGTCAATACCGGTGCCGTCATCAATCTATGCTTTCATTCCTTAAAACTCCTTTCACACTTGTCAGTCCACTCAAACTTCGTTTCTTTCTTTAACAGACGTGTCAACAGCATTGCTATAGCCGAAAATCCTTCCACAAAACGTCTATAGTATCTTGCCAAACCCAAGAAGCTTCGAACCTCGATTACCGTCATCGGTCTCGGCCACTTTATCACGGCTTCAATCTTTGCCGGATCTACTGAAATTCCATCCCCCGAGATCACATGCCCAAGAAATGCTACTCAACTGAGCCAGAACTCGCACTTACTAAACTTGGCATACAGTGCGTGTTCCCTTAAAGTTTGTAAAACTTTACTCAAATGGAACTCGTGCTCTTCCGAGCTCTTCGAGTACACTAATATATCGTCTATAAAGACTATAACAAATTGATCTAAAAACTCTTTAAACACCCGATTCATTAAGTCTATAAAGGCAGCAGGGGCGTTTGTCAATCTAAACGGCATTACCGTAAATTCATAGTGTCCATATCTCATCCTGAATGCCGTTTTCGGTATGTCCTCTTTCCTAATCCTCAACTGATGATATCCCGTCCTCAAATCAATCTTAGAAAATACCGAAGCCCCTTGTAACTGATCAAACAAATCATCTATCCTTGGCAGGGGATATTTATTCTTAATCGTCACTTGATTTAACTACCGGTAATCAATACATAACCTTAATGACACATCCTTCTTCCTCACAAATAAAACTGGCGCTCCCCATGGAGACGCACTTGGCCGAATAAATCCTTTGTCCAATAACTCTTGCATTTGCACCTTTAGCACTTTTAACTCTGACAACGACATTCTATAAGGTGCCTTTGAGATTGGCTCAGTCCCAGGGGTCAACTCGATTACAAACTCTACTTCCCTTTCTGGTGGCAATCCCGGCAATTCCTGAGGAAAGACATCGGGAAAATCGCACACCACAACTATGTCCTCTAGTCTCGGCTCCTCAGCCGTCGAATCAATCACAGCCGCTAGAAATCTTTGACACCCTTCGTTCAACAACTTAGTCATTTCTAGCGACGAAATCCAGGAGATCGAGGTTCCTCCTCGATTTCCCACAAATTCGAATTTCGGATGTCCAACCGGATTAAATTGGATCACCCTACTATTACAATCCATAACGGCCCTCTGCTTAACTAACCAATCCATACCCACTATCACATCGAAGTCATACATGGCTAAAACCGCTAGATCTATCATTTCCTCCCTATCACCAATCACAATCTTACAATCCGGGCATCCTAACGAGACTAGCACCTTATCATTCAATGGGATGGTAACATATAACACAACATCAAACAATTGCGGCTCTATACCAGTCAATTTAACAAACTGTTCTGATATAAATGAATGTGACGCCCTAGGGTCAAACAGAGCATACGCAGCATGATCGCATAGAGAAACCGTACCTGTGACTACCCCTAGCGCGTTCTCAATCTCTCTCCTGGCCATGGCATACACCCGTCCTTGGGCCGGTGGCCTATTCTGATTAGCCGACAGGGCAGCTCTAATTTGGTTCCCACTCCGGGGTGGCGGCAACGCAGGCGATCTATTCTACCTGATGTTAGGGCAAGTCCTTATCTGATGACCAAACCCGCCACATCCAAAACAGGCTCCACCCCTATTCGGACAAGATCCACTTCCATGTCTTTCTCCACATATCCGACATGGACCATTCTGAAAACGGTTCGATTTCCCGATATTCCTTCTAGCAGGAGGGACAAAACGTCGATTACTCACCATCGGCCTCTTCCCGAGGTGGCAGTTGTCCCTACCCGGGGCAAATTTTGACCCAGAAGCAGCAGCCTTATCCGCTAAGTCACGTTCGATCGCCTGGGCCCGATCATAGATCTCGTTATAATCCCTTAAATTCAATGAAATCATTTGGCTTCGAAGGTCCGGCTTCAAACCATCTCGGAACCTCCGAGCCCTATCCAACGGGTCCTCCACCATCCTTGGGGCAAACTTAGATAATCGAGCGAATTCAGCCTCATACTGATCTACTGTCCTCTGCCCCTGACGAAGCCTCATAAACTCGGCTAACTTCTGTTCCCGGGCACTCTTAGAAAAATATTTACCATTGAAAACTTCCACAAATATCGCCCAAGTCTGGGCGGCACCAGCAGGGAACACCCTTCCTTTGGTGGCTTTCCACCAATCACTTGCACTTCCTTGGAGTTGGTACACCGCCAAGGTCACTTTCTCTTCCTCGGTGCACCCTAGTACATCAAAGGCCTTTTCTAACTCCTCTACCCAAAGCGATGCAACCTCAAGGTCGCCCTTGCCATCAAACTTAGGAGGCTTTAATTTCAAAAACTGCTCAACCAGCTAATGCATCTGCCTATTCACATTCACTTGCCCCTGCCCTTGATTCCCATTGTTATTATTGGCGGCGGTGGCCAAAGCGGCCTCAGCAGCTTAGGCAATAGTGGCAGCTCGTTCCTGAGTCTGCCGTCCTATCAGATTACCAATCTCCTCTAGGGTCCTCATGATCGCATCCATTCTCGGATCCCCCGCTGGTTGGGCTTGTGAACTTGTTTGGCCTCTTATTCCTCTACCTCTCGAACTCATCCTCACGATTTTCTGTCGTTCACCTACCTGCTATAATTCCACTCAGGAATTAGAGACCTAGGCCAACTATACCAGTCTAGTCTTAGGCAGCGAATTAACACAATAATTCACTCAGCAGATAATCAATCACAATAGCACCAGGCCACAATCAATAAGGTTTGTGCACTTACCTCAGGTCCAGATGCACCTGCACTCTAATCGTTATAACACTCAATTCACTCAGCAATCACAACAAACAGTTTGGAGGCACGCGTAGCTCATTGCACCCTATGACTCGCTAAGGTCTCCCTAGATGACTACCCCAGTGTCTTCGCTCCTTCTCACTCCAGGTTTCGACCAATTTAGATCGAGCTGTCCTTACTCTGATACCAAATCAACTCGGATGTCATGCCCAGAACCCCATCGAGTTCGTGGCATCCCTCTTTGGTCGAAATAATGCGACGTCCCAGGAAACGCTGCCGACCCAAACCAATATATCAGAGATAAAGCATTAGCGAAAGCCACAAACACCCGGACAATATTTAACTAGGGGTAAAAGGGAGAATATACATAAATTCATTACTAAGTCAAACTTATACAATACCCACCATTTACATTCCACATAATATACAAGCACACCGAGCTTCTAAGGTTTACACCACTGATATAAAAAAAAAGGTCAGTAGTCTGGGAATACTCTAGCTCCAAAAATGGGACACTTCAAAAGGTTCACCTTACCCCTAAACTAGCCCATATGCCCTCTAGATGGCGTCCACTCCAAGTCAGACACCCCAGAACCCGAGTCTGAATCTCCCTGAGCCACCTGCTCCTCTGAGGACTCAGAATCCGCCTCGATCTCATTCGGGTTGTCCTCATCACTCGACTCTAACGGAACCTCAATCCGCTCCTCCTCTTCAGACTCCTCTTCTGGCTCTTCCTCTAGCTCATCCTCTGGTTCTACCTCTGAAGCTTCTTCTGGTTCTTCCTCTGATGCCTCCTCAGGTTCGTCCTCTGGGTCCTCCTCAGGTTCTTCTTCGGGTTCCTCCTCTAGCACTGCACCTAGATCCATATCCATCGGATCATACCCTGCCTGTGATTCTTTCGGCTCCGAATCAGGCTCAGCCACTGAAGGTTTGGTTGCTACAGGTACAGGCTGATGTCCTAACTGTGCAAGGCTAGTATCCAGACTAGTCATCTCACCATCAGGAGGGGGTATAGCTGACGGATCCCAATCCCCCACTCCGTCAAACGGGACATCAAAGCCTCGAACAGGACCGAATTCGTCCAGTCCATCCCGAAAACACCAGGCTGTATAGGTGTGGGCCTGCCAAAGGGGTTGCCCTATATCTACCCAGACTACGGTGGTATGCTTAATCCAGGCCATATTATCATCTATCAGATACTCTACAACTGCATGGTCGGTGTGCATCGGTATACCAAAACGCTGGGGCGGTGGCGGTGGAAGATTCATGGTCTAGGCAGGGGTTCTGAAATTGTTTGGTTAAACAACCATGAGACATGTCTCAGCAAGTAAACACCCTAAACCCCACCTAAGCCAACACGTACCTCCAGACAAGACCAAACATAGTATCACCCAATAAACACACATTATGCAAACAATTACACTTACCTAGTCTTTTGATACGCGCAACCTGCAGGTTAGTCTCAATTACACAATTTCCAACCACATGCACATTCCCAATTAATTTCCATGCCCATAGACAAAGTTGAATATATGCCATTTCCAAGATCGGCATTTCGCACACACTCGTTCATGCACCATCACATCATTATCATTTGACTTACCAGCGACCTGCGTTACAGTACACGCCTCAGGTCAACTTTCAATTCACGGTCCACACGCGACCATCTCATTTTCACAACACTTCTTAGCCCGCGTTACAGTACACGCCTCAGGCTATGTCTCTTGCCCGCGTTACAGTACACGCCTCAGGCTCAACATCCTCCACCTACGGCACAACCCACGTTGAAGTACACGCCTCAGGTTGGTAGTCTTCCGGTAATACCGGGCATCGTCCCGCGTTAAAGTACATGCCTCAGGACAGCACAATTCCCCGCGTTATAGTACACGCCTCAGGGATTCTCGTGACCACACGCACGACACATCACATAATTTTCTCACCCATCCACACGCTCGAATCTCATACGAACATGCTCGATTGACACACCAACAGGCCAAATTACCAGCCGATCCAATTCAGCCCATGCTCGCATCGAATCCCACGCATTTCACATGCTCAATTAACACACAAACATGGCCAATTTCCAGCCAATTCAATTCAGCCCATACACGCATATAACGGGGCCACATTTCAATCAATTACTCCACAATTCAATGAGCACGCAAGGTCGCCATTGGACCCACAATCACAGCCACTAGTGCGAGTATAAATTCAACATTTCCATATCTATTTCCAGTCATAATAATCACAACAAACCAGCCACGACACCACACATCAAACCGACACATTTAGTCCCCTAAGTCGGACCATATGCTCGTCATTGCGAGCCACAATTCCAGCACTCAATTTAGCAACCAATCCACCCCGAAACCATCACAAATTTCATTCATAAACTAGCCACGATCAGCCCCAAATCAGTTTACCAATTTAACCCCTAAACAGCCGCTAAATCACCCAAATCAGTCCCTAATTAACCCGATTCAGCCCCTAATTATGTCCATCGGTACCCGATATCCTAAATAGGGTTTAGGACGCCACTTACTTGGAAACCTAAGCTAGCTCGGCTGAAGGGGGAAGCGGCGATCCGGCGGTCTCATGGCGGCGGACGGTGATGGCGACGGATGTACGGCGGACGGCGGTGGCTGGACGGTCTGCTAGCTTTTCGCGGCTGGACAGAACCGAATGATGATGGTGGTGGTGGTTTCGGTGCAGGGAAAATAGGGGAGAGAGGGACGGTGAGGCGGCGGTGGTGGCGAGTTACGGCTTCACAGGCGGACGGCGGTGATCCGGCTCGGCGGGGAAGCGGCAGCGACGGCTGGCTGAGCTGGCTGGCCACGGTCACGGTGGGGAGGAGGAGGCTCGGCCGAGAGGGAGAGTAAGGGAGAGAGATGGCCGAGAGAGAGGAAATGAGAGGGAGAGAGAGAAAATGGGAAAAAATAGTCTAATTAGGCCAATAATTGGTGTCTAATACCCCTAGGAAATGACCATCCTACCCTCCTCTCTATTTCCAAATCAACGGCCACGATTCAGTCTTATCCTAAGATCGACGGCCAAGATTAATCCTTACCAAAAATATCCAGGGGCAAAATTGGAATTTCACAAAATTTCCAAGGGCAAAATTATCCAAAATTTTTATCTCTAATATGGATGTGAAATGACCAAAATGCCCCTCTCACATTATACTTGGCCTTAACAAAGTCCCAAGGGTAAAACGGTCATTTTCCATTTCTTGTCGAAATTCGAATTTTATGAAGAATCCGGACAAATCTGTGGCTAATCGAGCTAATAACAACATCGTCCAATTATCTTGTCATGACCTTCATAATTTTCGATGCCCAAACTTGATTTCTAATCAATGATCCAATTTAAATAACGTAACTTGAGCGTAGAAAATTATGAAGGTCCTAGAAACCTGATTTTTAGCTCATTTTTTTCATATTTTCAAAAATCTCAAAATTAGGACTAGGAATCTTGGCCAAGCCTAGAAACCTATTTTTCAACCAAAAAATATTTTTTTAGCATTTTTCTGCATTTTTCCTTAATTTCTTTTAATCAAAATAAGTGAGAAAATCAAGAAAAATAGTAAATGGAATCAGAAAATTCCATAAAAATAGTCATTAGTCTTATTTTAAATCCAATTTCATGAATACATCATCAATTTTGAAAAATCTCAATCGGGTATATGTTTTTCCCAAAATTGGGCAAAATTAAACCCGAATTGAACAAAAAATGCAATTAAATTTTTTCTAGTCATTTTTAAGTCATAGTGCCTTCACAACAAATTATTCTGGGACCTTGAATTGCATAATGGTCAGTCCAATTGCATAATTTGACATAAAAATAAAAAATCCCCAAAATTCGATTGAAAATTAAGAATTTTGAACCCAAATTGGGAATCGTGCCCAATATCAAATTGTCGAACCATGAGCTTATCATTTCTAATGTTAATCAGGTGTGGGTAATTCAATTTTGGCATTAATTTCACCTAATCAGGTTATTAGGACATCAAATTGAACGAAACCCTATTAACCCGGATACAAAAATGTGAAAATCTCGGACACAATTATAACAAAAATTGGGGAAAATAAAAGATTTGGGCTCGGAATATGATAGGGAATTCAATTTTGGGGTTTAATTTGAAAAAATCGGTTGAAATTGAGTCCAATTTGAGTTTTTAATCAAAACCAGGCATGCCGGGTCAACCCGACCCGACCCGACCCAGTGACCCGTCTTCTTCACCCGGATCACCTCAGAACGTTCAAACCCAGAAAATAACTCCCGTGCCTAGAACTTTACCGACTTCCCCCTATCAAATTAGCACGTTTTAATCGATTTGGCCAGCTGGAAAATATCCAGCTGGCACCAGGGAATCAATCTAACCGATTATAAGTCGATTCTAACCGAATTTGGGCGAGATTTTTTATGAATGAAAAACAGAAAAAACTGGAACATTGTAGAAGGGAACCTGCTCGACGAAATGCCAGAGTAAGAGAAGAGAGAGAAACAGAGGAAACCAACGAAAAGGATCTAGAGAGAGAGGGTCGAGAGTCCCTTCACGAGTGTTCAGTGCCGCCGTGGACGGCGAAGCACCGGCGAATCGTGATTTGGCCGTGACTCTCCCCTAGTTGTTCCAGTCGACTCGGCTGGTCCTGAAGGCCTGAAACCGAGCTTTTTCCGGCCAATCCAGACCTTTTCCGGCAAAGCCAAAACCATCAGGTGGAAGTACAAGTGTCAAGGAACAACACTATATTTACGGATCACTTCGACAATTTCTTTTAATCATCAAACGAAGAAGGTAAAATCGGTTCATAATAATTTTTTTTCAAAATTTTCCAAAATTTGGTTTTAATCCCAATATGAATGTTTGTGTGATCTCGTCGATGAATCTCGTTATTTTGATGTTCAGAACTAGTTTCTAATCATGTTTTCTATTGTTTGATTGCATTTTGTACTGGTAAACCATCAAAACCGTGTCAATCCGCCATTAAAAAACCTTCGCCGGAGCTCGAGAAACTTCGCCGGAGCACTCCCCGTGGCATTAAGCTACTCAAGTCAGCTTCCTTGACCTTGTTTGATGTTTTTGTACTAGATTGAAATCGAGTTAGACGGCTAGGGCGAGTATGGTGATAGTTTAAGTTCTGAAAATGCAAAGTTTAGTTAGAAATGGATTAGGCTTTTTTGGACTTAAATTTCGCTGGCTGACGAACGTCCGCCGGTGTTCCAATTAGTCTAGATAAAAAATAGAACACATAGACATCACAATGGTGCAATCGGAATGGCAAAATATTCACCGGAAGGTCGCCGGAGACGATCACAAACCGGCGGCCTCGAGAACGTTTAACACCGAACCATGCCCATTAGGTGTTTGTGGAAATGCCTCAATGAAAATCACTCAAAACGGCACCGTTTCGGCATTGGGCTCGCCGAAGGAGGTGATCGGCGACCGGCGCCAGCGAAGCCCGGTTCGGTCAGGCCGAACCGGGCCGGTCCGGTTCACCACCTCGGCGGGAAAATTTTAAAAAATAAAAAAATACTAAAAAAAATCTAAAAAATTCAAAAAAAAAATTAAATAAAAAAAAATCGAAAAATTAGAAAAAATATAAAAAATTGAAAAAAATTGAAAAAAATTCAGAAAAACAGAAAATTCATAAAAAAAATTAGAAAATTCATAAAAATTCAAAAAAAAATTTAGAAAATTCATAAAAATTCCAAAATTCTCAGAAAATTCAGAAAATACAAATAAAAAATGTAAAAAATTTGGAAAATAAATAAAAATTTGAAAAATTGGAAAATTCATAAAAATTTTCAGAAAATCATAAAAATCAATTCACAGAATGGTCCAAAAACACCATGGCCAACCATAAAAAGTGAGATTTGAATTTTCGGAAGTACCCAAGTGGCATTTTTAGAAAATTCCAAATTCAGGGGTTATAACCCCTAAAAAACCCTAAAACCCTAAAAAATGTGAATCATGAAATGAATAAGCTTCTAG